CAGTCAATGACACTGATATGTTACACGTACATGTATATGCGCATCTGTGCGAGCAAAACTAAGCAAACATAACGAGTTGAGCTCTTTGTTTCACAGCTGCCAGTGCACGCAGTGTAAGTTCATGCACAAATGATGCACTTAGCTGTCCAGTGAACCAGTGAAACAAAACAGTGAAGCACCTACACCTCATCGCGTGGAGCGGGCGCGGAACTCTCGCACACGCTGTCATGGAGCGGCGGCTTGCCTCCTTGCAACAAGATTGCCGTCTCAACCTCTCTAGCTAGCAGGCGTGCTGATGACCATTTGGAAGCCTCCAGCTCACCCAGGTACGACTTGAGCTTTGAAAGGGGCATGTTCAGCGCCAGGATGTCAACCGTCTCTCCTTTTTTTGCCGTTCCACTTCTTGACTCCACAGCTGGCCATGACAAGTGTGATGGGCCGATGCTTGTGATGGGCTGCCCTATGAAATCTGTTTGAGAAGGCTTCAAGGGAGCAACTCCACAAATGAGAAAGCATTAGACCAGCACCCACAGGCGCAAGTCTACAACAAAGGACGTTGCTCCCACACACACACATGTGTGCACACACATGACCGTCCCTGCTGAGTGGCGAGCACTGCCCTGCCAGCGCGGGACTGACGCCACATTGCCTGCAGCGATGCTTGCAAGGCCCAGTGGGGGGTATACTATAATAGACTATATATATATAGTGATGGGAATTGCCAAGAAACAAGCGGGACCAGCACAGATGGGAATCGATAGGGTGTGGCAAGAATATGAACGTCTTCAACTCTATTTTGGCTCTCATTGCCAGCAGATCTGTGCACACACAGGGGTGACTGTGTCTAAAAGCACAAATTAGACTGAAATACAAGACAATCAAAAGAAACGCGCGCTCATCCTACGTAGCCCAGGTGTCTCAGCCCGTGTGACTCTTTGATCTTGGCGTCCATCAGTGTCAATCCCCATCTCCACCAGGACAACCTCCACCTCCCTAGCTAAGCGGTTGGCAGATGGCCACACCTTGCATGTGGAAGACTGCTTGTACTTCAAGAGTGTATGTCTAGATTGAACTAAAAAGGAAACACACAAAAGTAGATCTGCATGGATAACAAGGCTCTGATGCGTCCAGTTCCCGGTAGTAACGAAGTAGCTTTTCAACAGGGAACCGCATGGCGCGTACATGGTTGGCTTCGAAATGGCGCTTGCCTGGGAAGTCCTTCTCTGCCACGTCCCTCCGCTTCATGGAGGACGATGCAAAGCAGGTGCGCTATGTGTGGGCCAACAGCTACATCACTCTCCAGCTGCCACAACAAACAACCAACGACTGCGAGTACCACATGGCATCAAACTCCTATAGTGACTGGAAAAGAAATAGATTTGCAAGTCTGTGTTCAGTTTGAGTGCAACAATGTCATTATGATGTCATTTTCTCTGTGGCGGGTAGCAAAGGAGA